AATTCAAATTCAAAAATACTTTATTGATCCCAAAAGGGAACTAGAACTGCATACAGTTACAATATGTTTCTTGCTTGACCTGTAACGTCCCTTTGCAATGCATGTCAAGGTTTAGACAAGTTTCTGGCCAAAATAAATGTGGATATGGCTTCATCATATGGCCAAAAAGAATTACTACACTATCATGGGAAGATGTTTCGCATTTGTTGAAAATATCAAGTCATGTGTAGGCATTTTCCAAGAAAAAAAATATCAACATATTAAAAAAACACTGCAAACAAATGAACATAAAAAAATCATATGATACATTCAGCCATAACTCAAGTAAGGTCAAATAAACAGCTTATATAGATATGATGGCTTAAATGGTTCATTTCACATTGATAAAGTCAAACAAAGCTTAACTATACTGGCTAAAAAGAGTTTAACTATACTGGCTAAAAACATGTCAAAAGTTGTTAAACCTATGACAAAATTCACATTTCTATGTCACTCAATGTTATACAAGTTAAATACTTACTCCTATTAGCAGTCAAAAGAGTAGAAAGGAGTGAATGGCGTTTGATTGTGATAAAAATGTCATGCTTTTTTTCCCTTGACAGACACAGATGAGTCAAAGATGAATGCTATTGGATTTCTTCTTCTATATACTTTGAAGATCCTAACCAGCTGCTTAGTTTACTTTATTTCCTTCCTCCATGGAAGATGACCTGTCAATCATTAAAGCTATAAGGAACTTTATTATTTGCAAAAGCAAACTACCTTTGCAAATAGTCTTATTTAAAAGTACTTTGAATAAGTACTTTTAAGAGCGTAAAGAATTGGACCATCAAATTTATTTTGGTGTTCTGGATCCGGTCTCTCCACCAGACAGGAGAGCTTTAGTCATAAATATTTTGAAATATGAGAAATAGCAAGAACTATTTATTATGTGTTTCAAGCTCAAAACAATACTGTTAAACTAGTGATACTAAAGAATCCTCATAACTCAGAAATGCTGAAACTAATTAGAAAAATTTATTCTAAATCTTTTACAGCAAAGGATCTGTTATCATCGACAGTCCTTAGGGGTTTTGTGCTATGGTGCAGTCTTTCATTCCACCTGATGCTTACACTGATACAAGTGTTCCACTGTATTTGAACATATATCATCACTGCATTAATAGTGTGAGCAAAATTGATATAATAAAAGTATGCTTCTATTTCAATAATTGTTGGCTATTATAGTCCAGCAACCAATTTTTAGTCACTCCTTGCTGGTTTTTCCTGTTTTATCTCTCTTACCCCTGTTAGGCTGCCTTTGGTTTTGGTTCTTGGTTTTGTGTTACTCTAGCTACCTGTGAGTTTTGTTGTACCATCACTTTTTCCGATTTATTGGTCAGCCAATTTATCGGTGCCGAGTTCCTTCATTTTGTCTCACAGATATTTTGAATTTTTGAATATTTTAAGTTACTTAAAATAATTTAGCGATGGCTTTCAGTAATAATACCCTAATTTCTTGCCATAATTAGCAATATTTCAGACAAAAACAATTGGTATCAGACAAAATTGGAATCGTCAGGTCAGGTTTTATACAGATTGCAATCGGCGACCGGACAGAATACTGCTTTTAAGATCAGTTAATCAGCTGACCCAAGTAGTAAAAATAATACAGTCAGACCTGTGAAACATAAAAGAGCAAAAATCCTTCCTGTTATACAGCATCCAAAACCAGAGGAGATAATTGTTTAGACATGTAATGCTTCAACTCCAAAAAATGTAAATAAAGAACAAATCAGAACTAGCATAACAAAGATACTTAAACATGGTGCCACCATGAGCAGCGCAATTCACAAAGTCAGAATTCTGTAAGAACTTTATTGATCTTTTGCAATATTCTAAGTAGGACTGTACAATAAATAAAAAAAAACATGACACTACGGACACATTGTCTGATAGAATATTCAATATATTGTTGTGGAAAGTACCTCCTTTATAAGTGATAAGTTGTGTATATAGTATTGTGTGGAGGTGAGGAAGATGTGCTCACCCACACACAATATACGCCCCCTTCTGTCCTCTGGTCAGAAGGGGGCGTTGCATGCTGGAACATGTATGTTTTGGATCGAAAGAGAGACGGGATGTGATGGCACTGGTAGTTAGTAAAAGTCTGTCTGCCCTGTTATTGTTGGACAAAGAAACTATTAAACAGTTATCTCTTCAGTGCTACCGTGTTTTCATGTGCTTCGTCCCCATCATGGGCAAAAGAGCGAGTTAATCCTAAAGAATGCACCAACTTTGGCCCAGGAGGAAATATATCCCCTGTGTTTTCCAACTATGGTCAGTAGACAAAAGCAGGAACGGTTAACAATAACTCCAATTCAGAACTGCACTACTTTCTGGGGCATGTAGGCAGAGGAAAGAGTTTAGCCACTCAGCCTCTCCTTGCTAGCAAAGCAAGGTCCTTTTGTTACCTAGCAATAACCTGCAAAGCAGTAGTTTACGGTTTGGCGACTCTGCCTCAAAACTGCTTAAAAAAACAATGTAGGAAAAATGGTGAACATAACAGGAAAGGTCACAGAACCAGTTTGGTAGTATTTCAGATTTTAAAACAACTGACTAATCAATACTTAATCAATATCAACTAATATAAAATATTATATCATGATGCGTTAGCAACAATGATTCCAGTTTAAATTATCAGATAGTGATAATCATCAAAATTATAAAGATTAAAGGTTTGAAATATTTAACTTTATATAAAGAAAATCTGTTTAATGAGTTTAACTTTCTATGAGTAACTAAAATTAGCTTTTTCCACTATTCAAATTTTTCAAGACGCACCTGTTAGCATAATTTTTGATCATATTGTGTCAAGTTTGAAGTTTTTGACATGACAAAACAGTGCTAGATTGTGTTAAATGGACAGGAGAGATCAAAATTATCCCCTCAGTGCTACCTTTTTAATCCAAATCACAGTGATTTTGATGAAGATGTATAATGCATTTAGACTTCAGCCTCAAGGTAAAATGCAAACTGCAGTGGGTGGTGAGAGGTACTTGTTTTCTTATTCAAAAAATAGGATTCTGTCTAGGTCAACAAGTCTAAGGTCATTAGGGACTGAATGATTGTCTTTGGTGCTGGACAAGGCAGGATTATCTGGGGTCAGGATAGAAACCCACAGATCTGCTCCACAAAGCCCTTCATGACCTGGCTAACACCTCTGTACCAGCGGCATTGTTACAGTTCAGCTTTTTAAGCTGAACTAAAGATAGTTAACTTCTAGAGACAGATAGACAGAATTGGGAGACAAAGTGATCACCAGAATGCTCTGGCTATATTAAGAAGTAGCAGAACCCATGAGCTGAAAGGTGACATATTTGAGGTATGATAGAAAGCTGTTGGTCAAAATTGTGTAGGAGGAGAGATAGATCCTGAGCTTTTTGTTGAACTAAACCTGTTGAGGAATGAGTTTAGCAGAAAAGCTCAACATATAAATGAAAAAGTAAGATATGAATGGATGGCAAGGATTTCCAGCATAACATTGCCCAAAATATCACACTGCTTTCTTGCCATAGCAGATCCTTTGACATATGTTCCTTAAGGAAGCAATGTGGGCCCAAACAGCTATCCATGTGATACAAAAGAAAACATCATTCACTGAACAAGCCATTACCTTCCATTTATTGGTGGTTCATTTTTGACATCAGTCAGATGTCATCATAAGCACCTTGGCTGGCCTCTACTTTTATGCAGCATCATATGCAACAAACTGCAGTGCACTGTCAAAATACATAATGCACCATAATTTTCTTCTCAAGTAAGTTGAGCTACAATAACTCATTTATTGGATCAGAACAAACAGCTTCCACCCTGCAACCAGCATAAATGCACCATCATTCTGTCACAGGTTCACTTGTGTTCTTTTCCCTAGATCCGTTTTGATCAGCTCTGTGCACTGCAATCCAGAGACATCCCACAGAAACTGTCCTGTTTTCTTGCCATAGCCATGTTGCCTTTGTCAAACTCACTCAAATGTGTATGCTACCCAGTTTTCTAACATGTGAGATTTAAGGACAAACTGCTTAATTAATCTCGCCCATGAAGAGATACCAACAGGAAGGGGTGATCAGTGTATCTCTGTGGACGGACTTTTACGTTTGGGTTGGTCCAAATGTTGTCAGGAAAATAAGAAAGACAAGAAGAAATATGTTTACTAGTGAACGCATTAGCGTTCACTAGTAACAGTATGTCTCTGTACTTCCCCATGCAATCCACCACTCTGCATTCATTGCTTTGCTATGCACAGACGAATGCAATAAACAGAAGTCAGAAGTGTTGTTTTGCAATACAAAGATCCTGAGATCTTTCCTCAGGAAGAAATCTACATATCACTTAAATATTTTTACATACACTGTAGTTTGACATTAATTTAATTTAATTATTTATTAATTATAATTAATAAAACAACAAATTATATTTTTGTTTTATTAATAAATCCATAAACAAAATTTAATTGTATAATTTAAAGTTGCCAGTATCAGTATAACAGATGCAAGGGCTATTTCTTTAAAATATTGTTTTATCAGTTTATCAATTTCTGTTTTTCAGCATCAGAAGCCAAAAAGACTAAAAAACATTTTAGCTCAGATACCAAAGAAAACATACATTGACCTATTAGATTACCAGGCATATAGTCTGAAGAATCAAACAGAATATTTTAAGAAATATATTACCTCGACTTTTACCTTATAACGACAATGCACCTCAGTCATCCCAACCATAAAAAGAAAAAAAAAAAGGAAAAATGTCCCACTGTGTAATCAATCGAACAATGCTACTGCACATGAATGGAAAAACATGAGTGACAAAGAAAGAATCTGAACTACTTCATGAGTACATTCTTACAACCACTGAATTGTTTAATGAAAGTGTGTCAGTTTCGAAATCTTTCAAACTGGCGACTCCAGGAGTTTAACATATATTTTTTAGTAGATCTTGAGTTCTGTCCAGTCACTCACCCGGGCGTACTTGGAGGAGTAAGGGTCCTCGAACAGCGCCCACATTCTGGGCTGCCATACTTCCCACCAAGTCGCTTTACGGCCGTCCTCCTGCATGCAAAGCCGCTTTAGGTCTCCATCCACTCCGCCGGTGAGCGCCGGGTCATCCTCAGGTACGTCTGGCTCCGGAGTCTCAAAGCTGTCCAAGGCTTCCTCTGCGTCCCGGTGCTGCCTGTAGTTCATCCAGCAGCACGCCTCCACGTCAGTCTCATCAATGCCCCAAAAGGCGAGCTCCTCTTCAAATAATGGTCCGCAGACATCGTTTGGACAATGGAGCTTACCGGTGCGGTAGTAATTTAGGATGAAAGCAAAGGTAGCTGGATGGCGGTCGAAAAAGAATTCGTCCGACTTAGGGTCGTAATCGAAGTTGCTGAAGGCATCGGGCTCGGTCAGCCAAGACAAACGCGTCCCGGGCAATGTCTTCAAAGTGCTCCGGTAGGTTTCGTGTCGGATCCCGCCGCAGTTTATCACAATCTTTTCGCTGTCTGAAGCCGAGCAAGTCATGGCTGCCCTGGGGCATGCTTCGGTCCTGCGCCCAACTGCTGTGGATGATGCTCTCCCTCATTCACCGTTGTTCCTTGCTCAGCACTCAGTCAGGACAGTGCCAATGAAAAAAACAGGGCAGCAGAATTCACGAAAAGAGGAGGAGTTTGGTCATTGTGTTTCTAAGACAGCACACACACAGTAGCCTACACACACACACACACGCACACACACACACACACACACACACACACACACACACACGGAGAGAGAGGAAGAGAGAAATGACAGATTTCATGTTGTTTGATGAGTAAGCCTAATGCAGCTTTTTGTTCAGTAGCACCGTGTTTTCCTTTGTTTTACTGCATCCTTTTCAAGAAGTTGCCCAGAAATACCATGTACCCGAAGGTAAGACCGCACACCACCGATGAATCTTCTGATGACTACCTGATCACAAACTGCCAAGCAGTAGATTTGTTCACCCCTCCTGAATCCGCAAAGGTAATGGATGTTTGAAAGAATTTGTCAATTTCATTTATCATTCATTCAAATTAATTCCAAAAAATGTCTAAAAACAATACAATACAATTCAGATTCAATTCAAGTAAAGTGAATTTTACAAACGTCAACATAACCACACTAAAAAATTTTTTCTTAAATGACTGGTTTTGAATTGTGTTTTTAACTAATACCAGTCATTCAGTGGTTTAGTCGAATGTTGCCAGTTTGAAAAGTGCTACATCCCATGTTCATGAAACATTTTTTCTATTGAAATAATTCTGGAAATTTTGTTTAGATTAGAAAGTTGACATGTGCTGTTATTTTGGAGAAATCAATCATTTGACCATGTACATGTAAACATTATTGGAGAAAACATTCATGTTTATTCATAAATTTATAAAAATTATGAAGTCTTGACATAATTTAAGCAAAATTTGTTTATCTTACATTAAAGTAAGTTTTGATTACGAAAACACTTTCGTGTCCTTTTACCCCTCTACTCCGCATCACTTCCCACTATCTTTCAATCTACTAAAGCACTTTACTTAATTAGAGCACAGCAAAAGGAGAAAGGAACAGCTCTTTATGCCCACTAAACATTCTCTCTCTTTTTTCTTTCCAAGATTGTCCCTGTACCACTAACCGAAGAGGAGGGGGGAGACCAGGAGCAGAACGAGTATCTGCTGAGCACCACAGAAAATGCAGAAAATACTGCAGACCATCAGTTCATTAGACTTTCCACATTTTTTTCCACTCTACTTTTCTCAAATATTACATCCTTTTTCCCTATCAATCAGTCTTCAACGTCATCATCATAACATCCCCTCCCCTCCATGCATTAACACATACACATATACACACAAAAGCGTATACCTTCCCCTCCCCACTTATCTCTGCCTCTTTCTCTGGTGCAGAGCTAATGTGCTGTGTCGGTCTATTGAGAGAAGCCTGCAGCACTGTGCAGTACGCTACAGGATGAGCCTGTTCCAATATCAGAGGAGCACACACTTACACTCTATTGGGCTATAGCCTTTTCAGTTTGAAACCCTCAACGACCACATTAACCAGTGTCCACTGTTAACCAGACCGTGATTCATATCTGAAGATGACATATAAGGAGGAAATGACTTATTCTTGGTATTGCAATCAAGCATGTTTTACAGCATGCTGAGAGGGGTAATGTCGCAGCCAAAAATAATCTTTGTCAGTGGTCTTTAATAAAGCATGTTAGTGTGGAATTAGTTTTTGCTATCTGCATGGCTTTTCCAAAGTGGGAAGGTTGAGTCCACTCTTACCGTTACTTCCGTGACTCTCCAAAGGACGTGTTCACAGTCCCACATTAGTTTGCCTGTGTAAGGGCAAGCCAGCTTCATAGGTTGACAGGCCATCTGGAGTAATTGGCAACGCCTTGTTGGCCGTTGCAATTCACGGCTCAGGGCTAATAACTTAACCGAAAAAATCAAAATATTTTTTGTCGACCTAATTTTCTTGAAGGATAGCTGTCTAATCCAATGAAATCTCTCCTCTCTCCTTTCACCAAAGTTACCAGATTCTGCCATTTAAACCTTGGGTCAAAAGTGACATAATTAAACAAAAAATACATAATTAAATAATTAATGAAATGTCATTAAATGTTTAAAGAATTTATTTTGTATATATATATTTAATTTGTTTAATATTGCATTAAATGTGCACATTTTCACAAATTTAATCTTAAAGCTCACAGTGTGCACAACATCATCCATCAGAGGATGTGATTAAGGTAAAATAAGCTAGTTACAAACAACATTAATGATAGTAACTATGTAACATACATAGAGAATCTCTGGAATGACAGGTTAATATGGTGGGGCCCGATGAAAATCTGCTTGGGATCCCAAAAGGGCTGGACCGGCTCTGGTGCTTGGCAACATGTAAATAGAGGACACCAAGCTACATGGTGTAGAATATGTTTTCTCTCATCTTAGACACCTTGATAAATAATTGAGACCTTTATGATATTGATATGGGTTTCAGTAATAATAACAGTAACAGGCTATAATAAGGAATTTATCCAGCAAGTTTTTGATAATGCCGACCGTCCTGTTAAATATCTGACCATCCATTATCTAACACCAACTTCACCACTGTGCAGCTTGTCATTTTAGATAGACAATGCTTATTCTCGCAGAAGGTTGTTTAATCTGCTCTGAATGGCTGGTGTAAAGTCTCAAAAGAAAACAACTGCAGACCTGACTGCAGATCACTGTGTATGGCAGACCATTTGAACATAAATTCAGTTTTACTGCATTTACGTTCCAGACATCTGAAATTCGGATATGACTAGACATATTAGGAAGTTAAGATATATGTGAATGTATTTTTACTAGACAAAATACCTATTTATGATGTCGCTAAAACATTCTCACTAGTAGAAATTACATCAGATTTACCACTGGATTATAAGGATCCTTCAATTCAAAATATGTACAATGAATGACTCAATCTCAAAACTAATATTTCAGATATGTTCAATAATTTTATAACTAGTAATAAAGCTGACAAACTTGGTTTTAGCAACAGTCTTACCAATCCTTACATGTTTTATATATGAATGCTTGGACCAAATGGCTTCAATCCTTGAATACCGACTATCATTGTGCTTTAAGGTTTGTAACAGGTAGCAGATGTCTTACACAACATTATTGTGAGTTGTATGTGCTTCTTCAAGCATACGGAAATATCAATCACTTGATGATCTGAAAGTCATCCAGTGCAGATTTATAAAAATACTAGGCTTGACTCCAGGTTATTTAGATCCTCTCCTACAACATACTGCCCATTCTTTATGCTTCAGCAAAATTCTTTCCCTTAGATGTGGGTTCGAACAGAAAAAGGGAAGCAAGCAAACGGCTCGTTTAAACTTAAGATCCCAGATCTTAGTTTATTGTACTTTTTTCAAGCAGTTCTTAAAAACATGCAACCTATTTTTATCAATCAGTGTCATTGCCTTTAAACTGTTTTGTAATTTGTGCATATGTTTTAATTTATTTTACTTTTTTTTTAACCAGGTTGTTGTGCATTGCAGGTGTCTCTCACTCTTAAAAGGAGATCTGGACGTCAGTGTGGTTTTACCTAGCTAAACAAATTTAACAAAATATTTTCATTATTTATTAATTTATTTTAATTACGCTTGTCAGACAAAATCGAATTTATGTCAAACTGGCCTGCCATACTCTGAGGCTTCATAGTGCAGAATTTTATGGTGGAAAATGACACCAAAGCAGGCAGCACCCTCTCCTGTACGATCAGTTGAATTACCTTTAGGTCTCATCAGTTGTGCTCCATCTGTGAGACCAATGGTGCAAAATAAAAGAATATGGCTCAATGATCCTCCAGTGCATTATCAAAATCAAAAAGTCATTTTTAATTTTTTAAAAGTTCTCTGTCATGGCAAAATGGTGACATGCAAGCATTTTTACAAACATAATATAAGTAATTAAAGTGGATGGGATAAAAAACTGTTTTAACTTCATAAAAGATTTATATATATATATATATATATATATATATATATATATATATATATATATATATATATATATATATATATATATATATATATATATATATATATATATATATATATATATATGTGTGTGTGTGTGTGTGTGTGTGTGTAACCATAAAGAGCTATATTTATGTATGTATTTATATGCATATCATTAGAGTTCACCAGAGGTAAATCTGTGTTTTATCTTTAGTGAAGGTAAAAAACAACTGTGTTAATGATAGGTAAATAAAACAACATAATACAGTGGGGTTTGTAGGCCCACAATACACTGTGTATTAATTCAATTTGTCACAGATACTAAAATAACTGGAAAGCTTTAGTTCAGCAACACATAAATCATTTCCAGTCCTCAAACTTCATGACTCTGTCGAAGCCGTGGTAGGTAAAGGCCTCCAGGGTGGGAGTACACGTTTCCTGTGTCAAGCATGCCATCCTGTTGTTCTCACAGCTGCCTTCAGCACCAGGGCTGAAGTATACAGAATCTGCAGAGCTGATAGATGGGTCTTCATCAAAATAGTTATGTGGTCGTAGTATAACTCCACCACCATTACCTACTGTCACAGTGTTGGGTATGTCTTCAGCATGAGGGATATGAAGGAAGCCTGTGGTGACCCAGGCAACAAGGTCCTAAACACACATAATAAGGCAGGTTATATTTTTAAAATTTGAAGTTTTTTGAATTGTTATATCCTTTTGTCAAATCATGTCACAACATACTTGATTTTCAATGCTTTCGTTGTCTTCAATATACTTGCTGAAGTCAACAGCTGGAGTCCAAACATCATTCTGATTGTAAAGACTACTGCTGGTTTGTTCTGAGTCCTTATGTTTGGTGATGGCAACCTTATACCTGGAAAAGACCGAAAATATACTGTAAGAAACAGGTTTGTTATCTCTGACTTTTCAGAGAGCTCAGATTGTGACGTTAGAAACAGATTTCAACTTCTGACATTGTTTAGTGACTTAGTTTTTGTCCAAGGGAGTTGTGTACTGACATACTTTAAGGGATAGGAGGAAAATAATGGCTGTAAATGGTTTCCTAAAGATAATGTACCTCACTAATAAAATGCTTTTTAAA